GGAGAGATGGAAGAGGAGAGTGGACAAATTTGAATGGAGCGAGGAGAGGAAGAGAGAAAGAGAGAGAGAGAGAGAGAGAGAGAGAGACAGAAAAAGAGAGCGATTGAGAGAGAGAGGGGGAGAGGGAGAGAGAGAGAGAGAGAGAGAGACAACTGTATACATACATACATAGAGAGAGAGAGAGAGAGAGAGAGAGAGAGAGAGAGAGAGAGAGAAAAAAAAGTCGGAGAGAGAGAGAGAGAGCGGGAACGATAAAGAAAGAGAGCAAGAGAGAGAGAGAAGGATTGAGGCGGAGGCGGAGGATGAGGAGGAGGATGAGGAGGAGGAGGAGGAGGGGAGGAGGAGGAGGGGGATGATGATGATGATGATGATGATGATGATGCTGATGATGATGCTGATGATGATGATGATGCTGATGATGATGATGATGATGATGATCATGATCATGATGATGATGCTGGTGGTAATGATGCTGCGGCTGATGATGATGCTGATGATGATGATGGTTATGATACTGATGATGATGATGATGATGATGCTGATGATGATCATGCTGCTGCTCTGATGGTGATGATGATGATGATGATGATGATGATGATGATGATGATGATGATGATGATGATGATGAGGGGGAGGAGGAGAAGGAAGTTGTGGGGATTCGATGCTGATGGTCTTGATGATGGTGGTGATGGTGATGCTGCTGCTGCTGATGATGAGGTTGATGATGATGCCGCTGCTGCTGATGGTGATTAGGATGATGATCTTGAGGAGGTATTCTGAGAAGGGGAGTATCGAGTAGCCAGAGGAACTGGCGCGGGAGCAGGTGTAGGAACACGAAAGGAAAGGGCGGAGCAGGAGAGAGAGCGAGAGAGTGAGACAGAGAGAGAGAGAGAGAGAGAGAGAGAGAGAGAGAGAGAGAGAGAAAGAGAGAGGAGGACGGGGGGAAGCAGGGGGGGAACTGCAGGAGGGGAGGCACATTCTGATGCGGCTGATGATGATGACGATGCTGATGGGGATGATGCTGCTGATTATGATGATGATTCTGATGATGACGTCGATGATGCTGCTGCTGATGCTACTTCATAATGATGGTGAGGCTGGGTGATGAAGGAGAAGGGGTGACAAGATGACTTTGATGAGGATGGTGTTGATGATGATGGTGACGGCGCTGGTCATGTTTATGCTGACGGTGCTTGTGATGATGATTTTGATGCTGATGATGGTGATGTTGACGATGGTGATGTTGATGATGCTGCTGCTGACGATGATGATGCTGATGCTGATGATGCTGATACTGATGATGCTGCTACTGATGATGATGCTGATGCTGATGCTGATGCTGATAATGATGATGCTGCTGCTGCTGCTGCTGCTGATGATGATGATGATGATGATGGTGATGGTGATGGTGATAGTGATGATGATGAGGATGGTGATGAGGATGGTGATGATGGTGGCGATGATGGCAATGCTGGAACTGGTGCTGGTGGGCCGTCGTCATCATGGGGTGGTGGTGGTGCTGATGATGAGGATGATGATCCCCTCTCCTCCGAGGAGGACGGGGTGCCGGGGGCGCCAGGTGCTCCTGGCGGAGCAGACGGCGGAAGGCCCAGGCGGCGGCGGCGGCTCTGCGGCGGCAGGACCCCCCCCCCGCCTCTTGATGCTCCCCCGTTGCGGAGGATCTCCGGCCGAGGAGACCGAGGGTCGGAGGAGGGCCAATCGAGACGACGGTGTCCCTCCAGGGCGCTGCTCGCTTCCACGTTGGGCCTCCGGATCGCCGCGGCGGGGTCAAGGCCTCGGACGACTGGCAGAGACGGACCCCGGGAGAGGTCCGAGGTCGAGTTCAGCATCGGCGCTGGTGTGGCCACGGTCGCAATCCGTCCGGATCCCGTTCTATTCTGCGTAATCCCGCTGAGTCGAGCTTATTTTCGGGCTTGTCGCAGTCAAGCCGTCTCCATGGCCCTTCTCATCGGGCTCAACGTCCTACTCGCTCCCACGAAGACATCCCGGTGCCGACTTGGGGCGGACTTGGGCCGAGCGGGAGAAGAGCCGCCGCTGTCTCAAGTGCGATCGTCGGCTCCCGCTCGCGGGACAGAATCGCCACGGGATAGAGCCGCCTTCCGAAAAGGGGGGGGGACCGGGAACGCCGGCAGCGGACACGGAGGCGGCGTCTCGTCGCCGTGCGCTGTGCCTGTGGCCGCGGCACTTTTTTCCAACGCCTCCCCGACCGAGGCGAGTGAGCCTCGTCGAAGTCCCAGCGGGCCCGCGGGGATCGGGTCGGAGGAAGGGGGGACTGGGAAGGGGGGTGGTGTGCGAAAAGCGCTGCATGCATCTGGTCGAGGTCTCGCCGCCCGGTGCTCTCCTCGATGCGCTGGGGCCCCCGGCGCTGGGAGGCGCTGGGGAGACCAGCTACGTGAGCAGATGCGCCAACCCCCTTTCCTAAGCCCCCGCCTGCGTCCGACCCGTGGGGGCCTGCTTGGAGGCCTCTTGGGTCTCTCTGAGGGGTTCGGGAGCCCGAGAAGGCGTCATTGCTAAACTCTTTCTCACACACCCACGAGAAATCAGAGTGAGGGGGCCGAACGGTCATTCGTTGCCCCTGGGTGCGTGGCAGAGGTGGGGTTCCGTCTGGCGTATGTTCTATGTCATGTTTTTGCGTTGCCGTCGTCCTTGCCCCAGATCCGCCCGCGACCCACACGCGACCCACCCCGCGACCCACCCCGCGACCCACCCGCGACCCACCTCGCGCCTGCCCCCTCACTCTGACCCGCCATTGCGGGGTGCTGCGTACATGATTTTAGCATCTTTGGACTTTCCGTGGGGGTCCTCGTGGAGGCTCGGTGGGGCGTCTTGGGGGCGTCTTGGGCCTTCCTGGGCTATCGCGGTCGTTTGGGAGGTTACCTTTGTCCGTCGTGCAGGCCGCCCTGGGGGCAGGGTGGCGGGTGGCGGGGCGGCAAGGTGCGAGCTTGGGTGGTGGTGGGGGGGATCCCCCACGTTTGTATTTTGGACGATGTCCAGCAGGGAGTTATTGCCTTGCAGGCAGCGAACGAATATGACGAAACAGCAAGCGCTTGACACGTATGCACACACCAACCGCTGCAAGAGCGGTTGCGGATTATTGAACACTGCAGCGATGCGCACAGCCGAGTGTTCATACATTTACATTGATTGTGAGCGTACTTTGCATCGGTTACGCTGATATCCATTTGAACAGCCGCCCTGGAAGGTCGGTGCAAGGCACAGTGACTGCAGGAATCCTCGTTGAGAGAGTTCCTCCGAGAACGGATATCCGCAGCATGTTCGGCTCACGTATTCTTTGGTAACCAGGAGTTTGTCAGCATTGTTGTCTGCGAGTACTGCTTATTCTACCCTGAGTCTATGTCGACTTGTATCCGGCAGCCCAGCATGGCAGCCTTGTCTGCGATCATAGTATTGTCTTTTGCCCTTGGTGCAAATTCCAGGCGCCTGACATCTGAAGGCCCTTCCATCGAGGAGACCGGACACTCTTTCATCGAAGAGAACTTGAAGACCACATTAGATTGCTGCACGGGTAACTACTGCTACGGCAAGAGCTGCTGCGGTGGGCACAGAAGATACACTAACGGCTTCGGCACCGTCAAGTGCATCCCGAGGAAAGCGAAGTCCGAGGACTCGAGCGAGGAATCGGCCGAGGGCTCCTTCATTGACGAGGGCGCGGAGGCCGAGTCTGCCTGCTGCACGGGCAACAACTGCTACGGTAAGAGCTGCTGCGGTGGGCACAGGAGGTACAACAACGGCTTCGGCACCGTCAAGTGCATCCCGAGGAAAGCGAAGTCCGAGGACTCGACCGAGGGCTCGACCGAGGAATCGGCCGAGGGCTCCTTCATTGACGAGGGCACGGAGGCCGAGTCTGCCTGCTGCACGGGCAACAACTGCTACGGCAAGAGCTGCTGTGGTGGGCACAGACGATACACTAACGGCTTCGGTACCGTCAAGTGCATCCCGAGGAAAGCGAAGACCGAGGACTCGACCGAGGACTCGACCGAGGGCTCGACCGAGGGCTCGACCCAGGACTCGACCGAGGACTCGACCGAGGTCTCCTTCATTGACGAGGGCGCGGGGACCGAGTCCGCCTGCTGCACGGGTAATAACTGCTACGGCAAGAGCTGCTGCGGTGGGCACAGAAGGTACAACAACGGCTTCGGTACCGTCAAGTGCATCCCGAGGAAAGCGAAGACCGAGGACTCGTCCGAGGGCTCCTTAGTCGATGACATGTCGGAAGAGTGATGACCTGAATCCTGGAGCCAATTATGCGAGCAGATGTGCATGTGACTTGTCCGTTCGGTACAGACCCAGGTGAAGGATGCTGCTGCTGCTGCCGACGACGATGATGATGATGATGATGATGATGATGATGATGATGATGATGATGATGATGATGATGATGATGATGATGATGATGATGATGATGACGATGCTGATGCTGCTGCTGATGATGATGATGTTGATGCTGCTGATGATGATGGTACTGGTAATGATGATGCTGATGCTGATGACGATGATGATGACGATGGTGATGATGATGCTGCTGCTGATGATGATGATGATGATGATGATGATGATGATGATGGTAATGATAATGATGATGACGACGATGGTTACGATACTGCTGATGCTGATTATGATGATTCGGATGATGACGATGCGGATGCGGATGCGGATGCTGATGCTAATGCTGATGTTGCTGAGTTTGATGATGTCGATGCTGATGATGATGCTGCTGCTGATGATGATGATGCTGGTAATGGTGATGGTGATGCTAATGATGATGCTGCTGAGTTCAATAATGTCGATGCTGATGATGGTGATGCTGCTGATGATGATGTATCGTGAATGCGATCTTGAGTATACATACGGTCAATACTCGTGAATGGCGATGGTGATTGCGATGACGATGTTTCTGATAATGCTGCTGATGATGATGCTGATGCTGATGATGGTGACGATGTTGCCAACGATGATGC